AAAATAATGTAAAAATTGTTGCTCTTTTAAATTGGATCTTTGTTTTGATATTTAGAACTGTGTTTATATGTTCACAATCCATTTCTAGAACCTTTTTCCAAAACTTCTTCAGACGCAGATTCTTGGGAAGTTTGTATGTGGACGTTAGATTGTGCGTCGCAGTGTATGTGCATGTGCATGTGCATGTGCATGTGCATGTGCATGTGTACATATGTGTACCCTCGCCTTCAGATAACCAGAGATTGTGCAATTGCAGAAATTGACGTGGCATTAACGTGGCATCGATTAAGAACGTCTTTGAGCGCACGTGATGTCACCTTTTCATCGAGAATTTAGCCACGTGGCACACGCTGCCACGTTAAGGCCTCGTCAATTTCTGCGAATGCACAATTTCTGGTTATCTTGAAGGCGCAGGGTATGTGTGTCGCGACTCTCGTCACGACCTTTTCAACGTGCAAGGTATGCGCCGATACTTTCCCGTGCTCCAGTCATGTTCTCACGCCTCGGAGGACGAAATACTACGCCTTCTCACGGACGCAGACACTTTCCCATGGTTCGAACGCATGCAACATCCAGAAGTGCGGGAAGTGCTCTGCATCTCTGCCTTGGCCCGCGCTCGTCTGTCTGTCAGTCGTCGTCCAGTCGTCTCGCCGAGCGGTTGTGTCCGTGGAGTCCTCAGCCATGGTTGGAGCTGCCGTCAACACCATCATCGCCAACGGATCGGTCGCATACCACTCCGCCGCTTATCCTTCCGATCGTGCCCGTAGGTTCCTCCCATTCTCTCTTCTCATTCTATATAAACGTAGTCTCGCAATCTATTGTAATATTAGTATAAATTACCTTAATACTTAGTGTTCTGTTATGTAGCAATATGTACACATCTTTAGCAGCGCGGTCGTAAGTTCGTTAGATAGGGGAGAGGGCCTCACCAGGCTCGCGGCAGGCAACAGTCGTCAGAGCATTACACCCTATCCCAGGGGGAGCTTACGCGACGCATCCCCCTGGGCTAGGGTGTTCGGGCCCTTCTATTACCCGTTCTGCCGTGTCCTCGGTGCCACCGATGCACTCCTTCCACACCCACCTCGGGGCACCAGGTCGCGACAATGTGTGTGCGTCACGTAATTCACAGTACGTGTCCCAGCAAGTGAGGCGTCGGCTCTTACAAGTTGTGTTGGGGGTCAGACGGGAACGACTTCGGTGAGGAAGACAGAAGGTGATTGTTCGTGACTTGCGTACGACCTGGGTTTACGATATGCGCCGGGATGAAACCGCGCTCCATTCGAAGTCGCATGCGGTCTTACCGCGAAGCATGGAAAGCACTGGAAGCGCGGGAAAAGCCAGTCACGCGCGCAGTCGGTCGGTTCAAGTCAGTGTCGTCAGTGCAGTCGTCAACGCCGGTTCGTCTCGAAGTCAGTCGGCTGGACCATTCAAGCGCAGTTGGTCCCACTCGTCTCGTCTACGCCGGAGAGCCATCTGCCCGGCATAAGTCGGTGGACCAGCGCAGTCGTCCTGACCCTAACCCTTGGGACTTACACGCAACATGCCGATCATGGTATATCATTCTCTTCTCATTTCTCTCCTCATCAGGTATGCCTCATAGTATGTTTTATATATATGTGCCTTCTCTTTATTGTCTAAGTAGTGCAATCATAAACCGGTCTTTAAATACGGTGTAGTTCTGTGTAAAACGTAGACGGTCAAAACCTTCTTTATCTAGTTACAATCATAGCACAACAGTGTAGCGCACAAGTCGTAGCTTCTTAAGGGGTCAGGCCTTAAGTGCCCGTGGCAAGGCGTCGTAGCATTCAGCGCGACAGGTAACCCCCTTAGGGTGTGTGGGCACCATAATTCCCACGTTCTGGCGTGGTCCAGGTGCGCAAGCCGCCGATGCATCCGTCAGTCAGCACCTGGTCACGACAGAAATGGTGCATCGACCGCAGTCACTGTCGTCGAAAGACGGCTTTGGCTGTCGAGATCGATCCCGTTCTGTCGCGCCCACGTACTTACTGTCGTTCGCATCGTCACTACCCTTCGTCCCTTCGCAAAAGGTAAGCGCATAGGCGCAGTTGGCTATTTCTCCTGCCAACCTTAGTAGGTTCACAAGCGCATTTCTGGTAGTTTCTCGCGTGGGCAAGTATCGTCGTGAGCGTCACGACTGGAGCTCTTGCATACCGTTCACGTACCTAGAAGCAGTGTTACCGTCGGGACCAGTGGCAGGGGTCCCTTCGGTATTGTTACTCGCGTACGCGTAGGCTGCACTGCCTGGGTAAATCAGGCCTGTCGTGAGTTCGTGGTGTAGGCTCCTTATGCGCCTTGCAACTATTGCAATTTGGGTAACATGGGTGCCGCTGGTCAATGCCACCCGCCGATAAGATGGGGAGGCAGTTGTGAGCGGAGTAGCCCTGCACGGCCCATTGAGGCGCGGAAAGCACACCAGTGCCACTGCGAGCATTGCATTTCATGTAAGTCTTCGTGTTGACCTAAGTTGCATTCTTGCACGCGCTAGACTGTAGACGTACCCTCATAGTTGCTCATGTTAGTTATTTTTCCATTATTCGCCTGCTTTGCCTACTTCTCTTTTGGTAACTCCCTTATGTCATACCTTAATCTTGTCACTGTGCTACTATTTGCCTCAATACCCCGTTTATCGTAGCTTACTTCTCATAGTTTTTTTCTTTTATTTCTCTAGTTCATTATTATTTGCCTTTCGCCATTGTTCGTGTGTTGCGTGTACTATGTTCGCCTCATTCGTATTCCTGTCCCTTGGATACTACCATTCTACTTTCCCTTCAGGACGATAGCAGCTCCCTGGTGTACGCTGTCCACTATGTCAACTCTTCGCGGACACAAAAGGCCGCGATAATAACGATTGCGCGTTGGTACTTTATCCAAGATGCTTTCTACTATTGATTCCAGCAATTTGACGCCGATCAATACCGAGATGACACCGCAGATGCAACTCCGTACGATTCTACGTCGAAGAGGAGTGAATTCTGCTGTCAAACGCGCGATAGAAAACGCATCAGGACTTCTTAGAGTCCGTTATGACGCATTGTTGTCCTTTGTTCGAACCCAGGAGAATTGCGAAGAACTCCAGCAAGAAGTCGACCGCTTTTGGAAGGAACAACAAGGCGAGAAGTTACTAGAAGACGCGCAAATCCTTATTACAGCTGTGGATGCGCAACTTCTTATGGACGAGTCGCTAGAAAACATCCTGTCGCAACAGCCCAGCGACGAAGTCGTTACTGCCACTGCCGCTTTGACCATCTCAGATACGGGACGTCCACAAGACAACCAACCGGCTCAAGAACATCAGAATCCGAACCAAGACGCACTGCCATCTACGCCTAAACAAGACACTCCCTGTTCGGTGCTACAGCCGATTCAACTACGTCGTCTGGAATTGCCAACTTTCGACGGTGATGTCACCAAGTTTCACGATTTTTGGTGCAGATTCAGGACTGCAGTGCATGATAACCCAACTCTCCCGTTGTCGACCAAGTTCATTTACTTGACCAACTCGTTAAAAGGGCAGCGCAGCACTCATTGTTCAAGGCTACGATCCATCAAGCCAGAAAACTACCAACTTGCTGTAGAAGCGCTTCGTAGACGATATGATCGCCCTAAGTTTACCCACAACCTTTTCCATCAGAGGTTGGAGCAGTTGCCAGCGTCAAGCCATTCAGCTTCGGCACAACGAGACACACTTTCCCAAATTCAGTCCTTTATTCTGCAACTCAATCGCTACGAGGACACCACCACTTCGTTGGCACTTGAAGAAGATTTCATGAAGAAATTCCCTCGTGAAACGCAGTTGGAAGTCTACAAACTGGAACACCGCTCAGGGAAAACGTGGACTTTACCAGAACTTCTAGACGGACTTAACGAAGTCATTGAGAGTGGAAAAGCTAGAAGACTACAATGTTACTCCTGTTAACCATTCCAGAAGCGCGGCGGGAGTACTCCATCTGATCTGCTGATTCCGCATGTGCCCACGAAAACTACCATCGCCATCATTAAGAAGACGCATGTTACGAAGAAGACGCATGTTACGAAGAAGACGCATGTCACGCAGCAGTCAGTTTTTCGCTACCATCTTCAACTTTTTGGACGTTTGGTACGATTGGTTCGATAGGACGATAGGACGTTTCGACGTTTGGACGATTGGATGTTTGGTCTCCAGTTTGGATGCTCGGTTCAAGTTGGTCTCCAGGACATCACGGTATAGCGCAGTCGATGCCGACGTTCAGAAGGTTGGATCTCAGTTACCTATTGTGTAGTAGTTTCTGTTGTTTACTAGTTTTGTCTGTAGTTTTTTGTATGTTTTCCATTTTTGTGAAGTCTTTTGCTTTACTGCCTCTTTTTGTTGTAATGGTTTTTTTCTGAGTGCCCTTAAGGCCTCACTATGCTCGATGTCATTTGAAGCTTTACTTATTGCCATATTATCTTTGCCATATTTTACCCTTGCCATTTCATAGTATATAAAAGTCTGTCTGTTTTTGTTATGCCGTAGATCGACGGGTTGCGAGTACCCCCCTACTACCTCAATTTCTCCTTCGTCGCAGTCGCTAAACGGCATCCGGCGCATCTCCTTCCGCCGCCCGGAGTGTCGTGACTTGCGTACGACCTGGGGTTTACGATATGCGCCGGGATGAAACCGCGCTCCATTCGAAGTCGCATGCGGTCTTACCGCGAAGCATGGAAAGCACTGGAAGCGCGGGAAAAGCCAGTCACGCGCGCAGTCGGTCGGTTCAAGTCAGTGTCGTCAGTGCAGTCGTCAACGCCGGTTCGTCTCGAAGTCAGTCGGCTGGACCATTCAAGCGCAGTTGGTCCCATTCGTCTCGTCTACGCCGGAGAGCCATCTGCCCGGCATAAGTCGGTGGACCAGCGCAGTCGTCCTGACCCTAACCCTTGGGACTTACACGCAACATGCCGATCATGGTATATCATTCTCTTCTCATTTCTCTCCTCATCAGGTATGCCTCATAGTATGTTTTATATATATGTGCCTTCTCTTTATTGTCTAAGTAGTGCAATCATAAACCGGTCTTTAAATACGGTGTAGTTCTGTGTAAACGTAGACGGTCAAAACCTTCTTTATCTAGTTACAATCATAGCACAACAGTGTAGCGCACAAGTCGTAGCTTCTTAAGGGGTCAGGCCTTAAGTGCCCGTGGCAAGGCGTCGTAGCATTCAGCGCGACAGGTAACCCCCTTAGGGTGTGTGGGCACCATAATTCCCACGTTCTGGCGTGGTCCAGGTGCGCAAGCCGCCGATGCATCCGTCAGTCAGCACCTGGTCACGACAGAAATGGTGCATCGACCGCAGTCACTGTCGTCGAAAGACGGCTTTGGCTGTCGAGATCGATCCCGTTCTGTCGCGCCACGTACCTACTGTCGTTCGCATCGTCGCCACCCTTCGTCCCTTCGCAAAAGGTAAGCGCATAGGCGCAGTTGGCTATTTCTCCTGCCAACCTTAGTAGGCTCACAAGCGCATTCTGGTAAGTTTCTCGCGTGGGCAAGTATCGTCGTGAGCGTCACGACTGGAGCTCTTGCATACCGTTCACGTACCTAGAACCAGTGTTACCGTCGGGACCAGTGGCAGGGTCCCTTCGGTATTGTTACTCGCGTAAGTGTAGGCTGCACTGCCTGGGTAAATCGGGCCCGTCGTGAGTTCGTGGTGTAGGCTCCTTATGCGCCTTGCAACTATTGCAATTTGGGTAACATGGGTGCCGCTGGTCAACTGCCACCCGCCGATAAGATGGGGAGGCAGTTGTGAGCGGAGTAGCCCTGCACGGCCCATTGAGGCGCGGAAAGCACACCAGTGCCACTGCGAGCATTGCATTTCATGTAAGTCTTCGTGTTGACCTAAGTTGCGTTTTTGCACGCGCTAGACTTGTAGACGTACCCTCATAGTTGCTCATGTTAGTTATTTTTCCATTATTCGCCTGCTTTGCCTACTTCTCTTTTGGTAACTCCCTTATGTCATACCTTAATCTTGTCACTGTGCTATTATTTGCCTCAATACCCCGTTTATCGTAGCTTACTTCTCATAGTTTTTTCTCTTTATTCTCTAGTTCATTATTATTTGCCTTTCGCCATTGTTCGTGTGTTGCGTGTACTATGTTCGCCTCATTCGTATTCCTGTCCCTTGGATACTACCATTCTACTTTCCCTTCAGGACGATAGCAGCTCCCTGGTGTACGTTGTCCACTATGTCAACTCTTCGCGGACACAAAGCACGGATAACGATTGCGGTTGGTACATTATCCAAGATGCTTTCTACTATGATTCCAGCAGTTTGACGCCGATCGATACCGAGATGACACCGCAGATGCAACTCCGCACGATTCTTACGTCGGAAAGGAGTGAATTCTGCTGTCAAACGCGGGGATAGAAAACGCATCAGGTCTTCCTTAAAGTCCGTTACGACGCATTGTTGTCCTTTGTTCGAACCAGGAGGATTGCGAAGAACTCCAGCAAGAAGTCGACCGCTTTTGGAAGGAACAACAAGGCGAGAAGTTACTAGAAGACGCGCAAATCCTCTAATCTACAGCATATGTGAAACACAATAGCGCAAGCTTCTTATGACAGTTCGCGTAGAAAAACATCCTTTCGCAAACATGCATAGGCGACATGCTTAAATCGTCTACTGAACACTGCCCGCTTTGGGACAATCCTCAGATACGGGAACGCCATAAGACGAACACAACCCGCGCGCTACAAAAGAACACTCAGAATCGCGAACCAAGACGCACTGCCATCTACGCCTAAACAAGACACTCCCTGTTCGGTGCTACAGCCGATTCAACTACGTCGTCTGGAACTGCCAACTTTCGACGGTGATGTCACCAAGTTTCACGATTTCTGGTGCAGATTCAGGGCTGCAGTGGCGATGATAACCCTACTTCTCCCGTTTGTCGACCAAGTTCATTTACTTGACCAACTCTTTGAAGGGCAGCGCAGCACTCATTGTTCAAGGCTACGATCCATCAACGCCAGAAAACTACCAACTTGCTGTAGAAGCGCTTCGTAGACGATATGATCGCCCTCAAGTTTACCCACAACCTTTTCCCATCAGAGGTTGGAGCAGTTGCCAGCGTCAAGCCGTTCAGCTTCGGCACAACGAGATACATTTTCTTATTTTCATTTTTTTAAAAAAGCCCTTTGCCTATGACGCAAAATCATAGTTCCACCACATGTTTCTCCGCTGCATTTTGCTTTTACCCAATCAAATTTTGAAATTATTATCCCTTCAAGGTTCCTTAGCTTATAGCAAAGGCAAAACCGCTGTCAGACTTCCGTAAAGGGAAAATCCTAGCAAAAGAGGCGCAGGAAATGTTGAAGTGTCAATTCACGCTAGAATTTGGTCGGGGTCACCTCATTTCATCGAGGATCCCCCAATGTATGATACTGTAAGTAACCTGATTACTTAGATGAGCGCCGAACCATAAATAAACAATACTTTATCAAGCTGGGTACGGTAATCAAACTTCTCCAAAAGTTAATCTCTCAATGGGCGCGGCTTAAGGTGTTTTCCAAAACGCTCATGATAGAGAATGAATAATACACTTTCTGTGAAAGGAGAGCAGAGCGAAAAAGGAGCCATTTTTCTTGGAAAGTTTCGCCAAGTCGAGCGAAGTGAGTGACACTTTTTTATCTGTGATATTTTGGAACCTCTGACCATCCTCCTGATCATTTTCTTCTCCACACGTGTGCTACGAAGTAGAAAACCGATATGAGAAAGAAAAACGTCGAGAGAAAGAAAGTGACAAAAATGACAAATGAATGAGTATCACCACTTCACTTGACTTGGACGAGTCTTCTAGGAAAAAATGGCTCGTTTTCTTCATAACTTCGTGCAAAAAAAGCATTTCTTATTTTCCAGACATGGACTATCATGAGCGTTTTGTTAAACACGTTAAACTGCATCCATTGAGATATTTACTTTTGAGAGTTTTGATTTCCCTTTGTAAACGTGTACTGAAGTGTGATTTTGCGCCATAGGCAGATCGAATATTTTCAAAACAGTGTAGATAAAAATTGTTGCTCTTTCAAATTGGATTCCGTGTTAATATTCAGATTCTGCGTTTATATGTGTCACAATTTGTCTGTAGAGCCCTTTTCAAAAACATCTTCAGATTCAAGTTTTTGGGAAATTTGTAGGTGGAAGGTAAGATTATGCGTCGCAGTGTACTTCACACACAGGCTGTTTCATGAATATTGCACCACTTTTCTTTACTTGTAACTTCTTTCAAAATGGATGTATCTTCAAGAAGTTTTACAAAAATTTTAGCAATACATTTACATATTGAAAGGAATGACATTCATTGGATCCCCTGTTGTTGTGAGTATGGCTCCCAATTGCTTCGAACGCAACTCTACTGTGGCCCGCATGGCATCCTGGGGTGTTCTCTTCGAAACTTTGCAGAGAAAAGGCTCCGGCTCATCCATGTGGATGCAATGTTTAGTGCAGGCTCTGCCCTCTAACATAGCCCACATAGGATGGTCCAGCACGCTGAAATCAAGGGATAGGAGAGCCATTCGTTCGAGGATGTGAAATCGGAAAGAGTGCCTTCAACAGCGCTCCTAAACAATTTTTGCCTCCTATGCAGAAGCTGGGTCCTATTGAAAAGATCATCACCCCTCCTCAAAGTGGCTAGATACCTCAGTAACAGATGGTGCACCGAAATGTCCCTTGGCTCGGTCTAGTATCAAGTTGTATTCCTTTGTTAGGCAGTGATGGTGAGCGACCGGTAGTTGAGACCCCGTCCAGACCATGATAAGGTTCGGCTGCTGCTTGTGGCGAATATTCCTTTCACTCTCACTGACTTCCTCAAGACCTCATGCGGGCATCCTCGGAGTTTGAAGATTGTAGCTCCGCTCCATGTGAGGAATTTTGTCGTCGATGAAAACGGTGCCCGCGTAATCGCCATTTTCGGCCCTCGACACCAGCTCTTTGAACTTTTTGTCTCTGCTGTGCTCCTCCCGTTGGATTGAGCAGTGGTGCTTATGCAACTTATAATGGACTGTGAGCAGTTGTTATCCGACCACTCTCTACATGCTGTGTTAGAAACTCCAGCGTTCTGGTCACCTTTCTCGAGCCAACCCGGGTATTGCAGTCGTTTCGCTTCTTCAT